ATCAGAGTGCTTCGTAGTTCCAAAGGTAAGCTCGAGTTGCGGAGATGGTGGGTAATAGTGTGTACATCATTTGCCCTATTAAATGCTCAAGATTTAGTCCCAACACTTATTATAATAATTTGAACAAATTATGTCCCAACTTATTCACATGCTTTAGATACTCAACTTTGCACATATGTACGTGATTTATTTATTTTATTAATTTACTACAAAAAGTATATGCATATGTCCTATGTTCGTAAGATTTTTATCCATTTTATGTTTTGTTAGAAAGTATATATTGTTTTACCTAAATTTATAAATCTTGCATCTTGTTGAAATTTTCTCACAAACATGTGACAATATTATGGATCTATGTTTCAACTTTTAGGCGTTGCAATTATTTCCTTCGGCTTTACTAATTTGGACTGTTGAAGAATTTTGAAATAAAAGTTTAGCTTCCCTCTACCTCTTTTTAGCTTTTTGCTAGTGATCATTTTCCTTCCGCTAGCATTTGTCTGTGTTTCTATAGTTGTTTATCTGGAATCTATTTCAATTATTAACAAAAAGTTGATAATTGGGATACCTTTCATATTATATATACACAGAAATAGAGATTGACATATTTCAGTAATCTTAAAATAAATCATGGTAAATATACCAAGCAACACATCAACTTAACAAGTGGAAATAAAATTGCAGACTAATTGTATTACAGATACAAACTAGTAGTGGTACAGAAGGTAAAATAATGAGCAGAAAAAGTTTTCCATTATTAAATTGCTTGGATCTTCAAATTACAAACGTCAAAGCTTGAGCGAATCAGTTTTCGAATTTACATCGAGTGCGCTGGAGAAAAAGGTGGCAAGATATTCACTTATTGTGAAATCTCTATAAAGAGGAGGATTGTTTTCTGATAGAAGCTCTTTGACTGGGCCATAAACTTTTGAATCCAGAAATTCTCCAGTTAAAAAGCACGCCACAGAAATTCTAGGACCAACACTTTTGGCAAGCACTCTATGTTCAACGCTCTTCAACTTACCGTTTGACATAATCTGATTCAATTTATATACGACGTACATGGTTAATTAATGCATGCATGACCATGTATCAATAATATATAGAGCAAATTTACATGTACATATATATATATTTATGATTATATACCTGGAGAAAGTCCCCAATATTGACTATTAAGGCTCCAGGAATGGGTTGAACATCGACCCATTGATTTTGATGGAGGACTTGAAGACCACCGATTTGGTCTTGCAGAAGAATTGTCAGGAAGGAAGGATCAGAGTGCTTCGTAGTTCCCAAGGTAAGCTCTGGCTGCGGGCATGGTGGGTAATAATGACACACAAATGTACGTCGTTTGCCGCAACCTAACTCTACTAAATGCTCAGAGTTTAGCCCCAACGCCTCTGATAATAACTTGAGCAGACTATGTCCCAACTCACTCACATGCTTTACATACTGAATGCTACATTCTCTGCATATATGTACGTATTACAAAGATAGTGCACCATGAAAGTTAACAATTACATGTGTGACTATAAATTCGAAAAAGAAAAAACTCCTCTTAATTAGTATGAGCTCCAAAGAAACAGTTAAATTATGAGCTTTTATTAGTAATAATTTCTAGTTAATATTTCTTTTTTCCGCACTACTGGAAGACTTTGTAATTGCCGTGAGTGAGAACAATTTTAATTTTTTATTGAAAAAGATTCCATGTTGTAAAACTTGTTTTATATTTTACTCCACATACATATCCTGCAACTAATATTTTTGTTCAACCAAGAAATTTTTTCTGAATAAAAGAAAGTTTTATCTCAATTGGAAGTTGTAAATTATGAATTTTTTATGTTGCTCGGTTTGTTTCTGATTTAGAAATTAATTAACTAGTTAGCAGTATACATAGGATAACTTGGTTTACTAGTTTGTATTTACCTGCAATCTGGTGGTAATTCTTGGGGATCCAACTCATTGGAAGGCAACGTAATAGTCAACGTATCTCTCCAACTGGCTGCTTTTGAATTATACAAATCATAGTTGCTGTTGAATCTAACTCTTCTTGTTCGATCACGCGAGTACAACACTTTCTTCATCTCAACATCTCCCTCATGAAATCTGGTTGTCCCTTTGATCATGTCTTCCAGAACTTGCAGGGGGATCCCATGATTCACAACTTGAAAGAAACCCCAACACTCCGATGCAGACTTCAGTTGGTTAACGATCTCTTTATGCCGGTCGCCATCGACGCCGTCGAAGTCGATGACCGGAACTTGGCAATGGATTTGACAACGGTCCGAGTCCCCGGTGAGCTCATCCGGTGGCCGAACGAAGATCTTGGGAATATTCACCATCCCAGCATCTACTAAACCTTTAACACCAGCTTTTGTCTCATCGAACGCCTTAAGCTCTTTTTCCCTACAGTCTTCTGCTCCACCGGTACCCATTTCCTGCAGAATCAAGTCTAGGGAGAAAATCCAATCAAAGATGAGTTAGGTGGGGCCTTATCTGTAATATATATATATATATATATAGGTATTTAATGCGATAATGTCCGCATTGATCCTTCTTCAGGAACGTTAAATGAAGTGGGCCCACCAACTTAGTTATCTCCAAGCAACCTCCTAGAGAAAATCTGAATTTCTCTAAACATCATAATCTCATCCCCAATAGTATTTAAAGGAATCCGGATCATGCAACTCATTTACATGTAAATAGGAAGACCAAACTACTATTCGAATGATACTGCCAATCTGCTACCCCAATTTTGATCACCCAAAATAACCCGATTCTCTTTTCAGTTAAAACTATGAATCTCTAACTGTGGAGGTTTGGAAATGCCTCTAGCTAGAAGTTGGAGATATGTAAGGATAAGCTATAGCAAATAAAAAAAAAAAAATCAAGAAAATTGGATTTAATGATGTGGTGATCTAGAGAACTCAAGGAAGGAAAATGAGGTCTTTAATTTTGCTTAAAAATATGGTATTTACCTTTTAACCTCATGTTCTTTATTAATATTATGGTTAAAGATAAAAATTATGGTAAAAATTGAACATTTTCAAAAATTTATTATCCCATGTATTTTAAATTTTTAAAAAGATTTTTGGAATAAATTAAAAACATTTAGCAATGACCATATTCTCCATTGACTAATAATAAGAGACATTAATAAAAATGTATCAGATGCAATTTTTTAAATAGAATCTCATTTAATTTTATGATGAATCTTTACAATTTTAAAAAACAGATAGATTTAGAATCAATAAAAAATAAATTTATCTAATCATAAAAAAATTTTAGGACCAACTTGATGAGACACTTTGTTTCTTAATGCATTGTTGAAGCCCCTATAGTTTATGTCCGTTTGTTGAAGGTTCCAAAATTACCTCAACAAGTCATATATTATTGCCTAGGTATTTTTGATATAATAATTTCTCTGTCTTACGTTAATAATATAATACATTAGAACCTGAAAACTTTCCAAAGTGTAAGCCTTGTTTCTTACTGCTTATTTCAACATGAAAATATTTTGGAATGGAAGACCTTTGAGTAATCAATTATTAATTCTTATTTAATAATTTAAGAGCAAAACTACTTTGCACTACAACAATAGTAAAATGCTCATTGTACTCTACTTTTTATTATATAAACATAGCATTATTGTTACTTTTTTTTTTTTCATAACCTTTACAATAGAGTGATTATAATTTCAAGAACTCTTTATTTCATTAAACTGTTTTCCAATCACTTACACATATACATATATACATATATATATGTTTTAGTTTTATTAAGCATTTAAAACAAACATCATAACTTGAAGAAGTCTCTGATTTTCGTACCAAGTCCCACGTATCAAAATCACTTCTCAAAAAATCTTTGTAAAGCGGTGGATTGTCTTCTGATATTAGCTCACCAAATTGGACTATAAAGCTTCGAAGGCTCTCCACTGAAGAAACAAGCCACGGAAATCCTTGGAATGACACCATTATTAGCAACAACTCTGTGCTCAACACTGTTGAACCTTCCGTTGGAAACAATCTGAACAAATTTCAAACATCCAACAAAGTAAATACATAACCTGCATAATCAATAATATTAAAAAGATTATAGCAAATAATGAATTATGTATTATAACCTGAAGAAGGTCTCCTACATTTACTGCCAAAGCTCCCGGAATGGGTTGAACAATGACCCACTGGTTTTCATGGAGTACCTGCAGACCACCTATTTGATCTTGAAGAAGAATGGTGAGAAAAGTACATCTGTATGGCTGCTGGTTCCCAAGGTAAGCTCTGGGCTGGGACATGGTGGGTAGCAGTGACACAGAAAGCTGTGCCATTTATTACCTTCCATTGCGTTCAAATGCTCTGCTTTTAGCCCCAACGCTTCTGATATCAATCCAGAAAAGACTACTTCCCAGCTCCATCACATACTTGGAATACTCAATAGTAGAATCTCTATCATATTGTATTATTTTTTTCAATAAGAGATTATGGATTCCAACAGAAAGATTATATATATAAATTATCTGCAAACTGCTGGTATTTCTTCAGGGTCAAGATCATTGATACTTACTGTGTCACTCCAATTAGCTGCTTCAGATCCGTACAGGTAGTAGTTGCAGAAGAATCTAACTTTTCTTGTTTGATCACGCGAGTAGAACAGGTTCTTCATCTCAGCATCTCCCTCATGAAATCCCGAAATCCTTTGATCATGTCTTCCAGAACTTGCGGGGGGATCCCATGATTCACAACTTGAAAGAAACCCCAAGTCTCCGATGCATACTTCAGCTGGTCAACTATCTCCTTATGCTGGTCGCCGTGGATGCCGTCCAAGTCAATGACTGGTACTTGGCAGTCTATCTAAGAAGGGTTTGAGTCGTTAGAAAGATCTTCGGGCGGATTAACGAAGATCTTGGGGATATTCACAATCCCAGAATCTATCAAACCTTTAACACCGGCTTTGGTCTCATCAAAAGCCTTAAGCTCTTTTGCCCTGTCAAAAAATGATACATCTTCTCGCTGACCGTCCATTCAGCGCCAACCAACCTGCTCTTTGTCAATTCACCTTGCTCTGATGTCCTCCCCTACTTGTGTCTCGATGCTCTCTTTTCAAGTCCTATCGTTCCTCTTCCATGCTTCTTCCGAGTCGACGTAAATAGCTCCGTTTCCTCTCTATTTTTGGCTGCTTCTTCCATAGATTGTTTACCTCTTTTCCTGCTTTCTCACGTTTTTGCCTCGTGAGCTAAAGGCGTCCTTTCCTTTTTGTTGCTTCTATCTTTTTGCGCTGAACCCTCTCTACTCTTTTTCCTTCAATCTTCCTTTTTTACGTATTCCATAATGGACATGTGAACGATATTTCCCTTGGCTGGTCACCATCAGTTTCAGATGAAGCACCAAGCTATCCGCCAATTCAATTGAAAAGAAAGAAAAGAAATTCTAACCGAAACGGTGTCGTTTTTGCGTTTTTTTGGAGAACTAAGCTCGGATTTTGCTTTGCGTTTAAACAGATTAAAGGAACTAAGCTGGAGTTTAAGTTTTAGAGTTTTAAATTAGATTGGGATTCAAGACTCTTCCAATTTGATTTGGATTTTAACAAAACCCAAACCCAAACCCATTATAAATCCCTTATTCCGCCTTCTTTCTCTTCTTTTCTTTTTCATTTTTTGTTTTTTGTTTTTATTTTTTACTTCTAATTTCTCTTTCTCTTTTCCTTTTCTTTTTCTCTTTTTTCATGTTTCTTTTTTAACAATAATAAAAGAAAATAACATTAAACAAAATTAAAAATAATAAAATTATAATATTATCATTTGTGGACAAATTAAATATTTTTCTTTGAATTTTTCATTTGTCATCTCCTAAATTTTTATTTAAGTGTTATCATTATTACTTTAAATATTTTTATTATGACTGGACAAAATTGAAGTATTAAGTTTTTGCTAATGTCATTATTTTCAATAATTTGCAAAGATTATATTAATGTTGATGTTAATTCACTTGAAAAATGATTTTTGAATAACTGAATCTCAAATGTCCTCCATTCTCTATTATAAATCATGTGGTTAGATTAGACATTGGAGCATCAAGATAAAAAAAAAGGGTATTTTTTCGATATTTTCATCCTTAAATTATCATCACAATCATTCTCTTTTAAATTTGTATACCTCCACATTTGCGTTCCTCTATAAAAAATTTTGTTAAAGGTTTCAGAAGTCGATTGAGCCACTAGTAAAAAATAAATGATAAGAAAATTATATATGAAAAGAGAAATATTGTATGTTTGATCTTCTAAGTGGATGAGAAATATTGTTCAAACACCAATAATAGAGTCCACTTTTAATCTTTGTTGCTTATGTGTTCAAATGTAATATTTTTCTTTTATGACAACTACTAATGATGAAGTATTAATTATTTTTTAGATAAGCATACATAATTATATTAGGAATTATTTTGATTTAAATTACTTAGAAAATAAATATTACTTTTCACTAAACATCCAATATATATACTTATTTTAGTTATCTTTATATGCTAATGAGTTTTTCATATATGGATTTACGATGTTATAACCTATTTAACATTCGAGTTACGACATTATAAATATATCATAATTTTGACCACCACAACAAAATCTCATATGGGTAACACTATTTTAAAGTCAATCATAAGCGATTCTTAATAAAAAAAATTTATATGTTTGATTTTTATCTACTATTTACTTTTTAAAAAAACATATATAGCTTTACCTAAGTTAGTAAATATTGCATACTTTTGAAAATTTTCCATAAATGTTTGGCAATATAAAAGATAGAAGGCCTTACAATTATTTCCTTTAGTTCTATTAATTAGAATCATTGAAGATGTTGAAGCAAGAGTTAGATTTAATTTACCTCTTTTCAGCTTCTTGCCAATGATCACTTGCTTTTGGACTTGAATTTATCTATGTTTCTATTATTGTTTAGTTAGCATTGGTTTTTAGAGATAAATTTTGCGATCTTTCATCGAGAATTTACTTCAATTATTAATAAAAAATTATTTTACCTTTTATATTATATATATATACACGTAAAGATTAATAGATAGAATCAACATATATATAGATAGTTATATATATATATATATTTTATAGAGAAAGATTCTAGTAACTTCAAAAAAAATTATGGTAAACATTTGAAGTTATATATCAACTTAACAAGTAGAAGTTAAATTTGAGACTAACTGTATCACTGACACAATTTAACAGTGATCCATAAGGTAAAATATTTGTTAAGAGAAAATTCTCCATTACTTAATTATTTGCGTTTTCTAATCTCAAACATTAAAGCTTGAGTACATTAATGCTCCGCATTACATCGAGTCCAGTGGAGTAAAAGGTGGCAAAATATTCACTTATTGTAAAATCCCTATAACGAAGAGCATTATTTTCTGATAAAAGCTCTTTGATTGGGCCATAAACCTTTAGAGGTTCTCCAATAAAAAAGCATGCAATAGAAATTCTGGGACCAACTCTTTTGGCAATCACACTGTGTTCAACGCTCTTCAACTTATCATTCGAGATAACCTGATTCAATTTATACGTGAGATACGTGGCTAATTTTAATGCATGTGAAAATAATCCATGTATAAAGCGAATATATTTAGGTGTATGTACCTGGAGAAAGTCTCCAATGTTGACTATTAAGGCTCCAGGAATGGGTTGAACATCAACCCATTGATTTTGATGGAGAACTTGAAGACCACCGATTTGGTCTTGCAGAAGAATTGTCAGGAAAGAAGGATCAGAGTGCTTTGTAGCTCCCAAGGTAAGCCCTGGCTGCGGACATGGTGGGTAATAGTGACATACAACTGTACGTCCTCTGCCACATTCTAGCCCTATTAAATGCTCAGGTTTTAGTCCCAATGCCTCTGATAATAAGTTGAACAAATTATGTCCCAACTTCTTCACATGCTTTAGATACTCAATGCTACACTCTCTGCACAAATGTACGTAATTTATTTTGTTATTAATTAACTCCAAAAATATTGGATCTTGAAAATTAACAATTACATGTGTCATTACAATTTTTGTTTTTGTTTTAAAAAAGCCCATCTTTATTATGTAGAACTTTTAAGTTGTTAAAATATGTACTTTTATAAGTAATATTTTGTTTATGGATTCCTGGAATCCTTTATAATTATTATTGTCCTATGATTTCTAAAGTCATATAAAACTACTATGCAAAGTATGAAAAATTATTAATTTTTTACTGAAAAAGATTCAAGCTCATAAAATATTCTATACGACATATATATCCAGCAATTAATATTTTTATTCAATCAATAAAATTTCTCTGTCTCTGTCTCTCTCTCTCTCTCTCTCTCTCTATATATATATATATATAATAAATATATATAGATATTAAAAGTTTTTATCTCAATTATAAGTTGTAAATTATGAATTTATATGTTGCTTGGATTTGTTTTTTATTTAGAAATTAATTAGTTAACTAGCAGCATATATAGGATGATTTAGAAATTATTATAGTAGTTCGTACTTACCTGCAATCTGGTGGTAATTCTTTGGGATCCAAATCACCGGAAGGCAACGTAATAGTTAATGTATCTCTCCAACTGGCTGCTTTTGAATTATACAAATCATAGTTGCTGTTGAATCTAACCCTTCTTGTTCTATCACGCGTGTAGAACTGCTTCTTCATCTCAGCATCTCCTTCATGAAATCTAGTTATCCCTTTGATCATGTCTTCCAGAATTTGCAGGGGGATCCCATGATTCACAACTTGAAAGAAGCCCCAACTCTCCGACGCAGACTTCATTTGGTCAACGATAACCTTATGCCGGTCGCCATGTACGCCATCAAAGTCGATTACTGGAACTTGGTAGTCGACGTGACGGCGATTTAAGTCGTGGGAGAGCTCATCCGGTGGCCGAACGAAGATCCTGGGGATATTCACAATCCCAGCATCTACCAAACCTTTAACGCCGGCTTTTGTCTCATCAAAAGCCTTGAGCTCTTTTTCCCTGCAGTCTTCTTCTCCATGGCTACCCATTCTATCTGTGAATCTTTACCTTGACGATCGATCAGGTATAGTCGCGTCATTATTAAATACTCAAAGCTTAGCCTAGAAGAACTTCGACGGCATATGTCTCTTACTGAAGACGGATCAGTTATCAGCCACATAAGTTGGATTCTCCTCGTTGTGACACGTGGAAGCATTCTATGTTAGAAACAGAACTCTCTCAATCTCTGTGAATTCAGCTATACGTGTGCTGATCCGATACACAAATTTGTTAGAAGAGAATTATAATGTTAAAATTATAACAATACTAACTCATTTATTGTTTTTTTTTTAAATAAAACAAAACTCATTTTATTGTTAATATATTTATTTTAAAAATTTAATGAGTTATTGATTTAAATTTTTAATAAATTATCACACAAACACACACACACACATATATATGTGGAGTTTTGCGATAGTGTTATGACATAAGGTTAGGTTGTAGATAAAAATTAATTTTTTAAAAATCAATTTAATTAATGGACATCATTTATGTGTATAAAATTTCTTTTTATTAAGATGTATGTGTATAGAATTAACATGATATTAATTATGATATTTTGGATAGTCAACGATAGAGAATAAATTGATTAAGAAAATCATTATTATACTCATTTCTTGATTTATGTATAACCAATTAAAGAAAATTATCAACCGTTGATTTAAAATCTTAATGAAAATTTTGAAGATTAAAGTTTTCTTTTAGTATCTAGATTATTAATTAGTGTGTAACGCCTCGTTTTTTTTTCTTAATAGTGCAGTCTAAAATAATTTCATGATCAAATACGAAAGTTTCATTCCAAATCAATCACACACATAGAAACCTTACCATAATCTATTATTCAAAATCAAGATAAACTTGCAACCCTACATGTACATCACAGTAAAAACGATCTCATATACTTCCAGCAAATACACTATCTACACTACTACTAATTTTTACACACTCTA